CCACTGGGAGGGTGACAGACTGGGCTGGTGAAATACAGATGGGGAGAACCCATCTGGTGCTTCCCTGAGTTGTGCTCACTCACTCCATCCTCTGAGGGGCGTATCTCTGCACTGCCGACCAAACGTGTTTTTGCCATTGGAAGAAGTCAATAGGTAGGCCTTGGTTAGATACCTCTTTTTCTGTCTTAGTAAATGGATTGTAAGAAGCCACTTATACAAGACAATCCTTCATTGTTCGCAGGAGTCATTCTGAGGTCAGCTTCATGGTGTAGACCAGAGGTAGCTGGGAGATTGCACCATTAGCTCATTTTGTACCACCTCTGAGGATACTGATGAGGCCCTGACATCAGCTCATATTTATGTTTTTAAAAAGTATTTTGCCTCCTTTTCATAAGGTTGGGGGAGAAAATCGAGTTAACGGAGGGTTATAATTCATTGATTGCTCTCTCATTGACCAGGCATTGTGATAGGCCTAAATGAATTAGAACTTACTTAGTAGCACAGATATTTCAAATTCAGTAGGACTTAGAGGAAAAAAAATAGCATTTGATTTTTAAAACACAAGATGAGAGAATAATGTTAAATTAGGAAGAATTTACGGTCCTGGGTTTACTGCTGGCTGCTGATGAGTGCAGAGTACCTTGTGGACAGGAGGCATGGGGTGTGGTAGGGACTGAATAGCCATATTGCCTGTTGTTGGTGGGGCTTGGAATCACTCTGTTCTGTCTGGGGTTAGGTCTAGAGTCTGGAGAGATCACCCAGCTAAGCTGATATTTTAGAGCCGGCCAGGGGAAACAGGGTACCTGATGCCAGCCCAGGGCATTTCCTGCCCACTGGCCCTGCTTTGCTTTATGATGTCCTGGCTTTCTTCATGGGGTTAGTGTGAGCCTTGAAGAAACCAGTAACTATGACAGTAGGCTGGGCAGTTCTGGATAAATACCAGCTGGTCCTAACATTGCCCGCAGATCCATGCTCTTCAAAGTCCACTTGTAAAATGGATTAACTCAGTGTTCTCAAACAGGTGTGTGTATGTAGCACGATTTTACCTCCTTGGAGGACACTTGACGATCTCTAGAGAGACATTTTTGATTGTCACAATGGAGGTGGGGGTGCTATAGGCATCTAGTGGGTGGAGGCCAGGGCTGCAGCTAGATATCCAACCACACACAGAATGATCTGACCCCAAATGTCAGTAGTATCGAGGTGGAGACACTTTCATTTATTTATTTATTTATTTATTTATTCATTCATTTATTTATTGGCACTTTGATTTAATATAATAAAAATTTTTAATTACTGTTCAGTGTGTACATGGTTTGCACTCACATTTCTCTGAAAAAAATAAATTTATGCATGGCCTATGATGCAGTTAATAAATGATTGAAAAAAATATTGAAAAGGATTGAAAGCCATTTACTCTGAAACATTCGTTAAGGGGAGTTTTGCGTATATGTTGGAAAAGGAAATGACTGCTCAAGCTCATTAACAGGAGTTTTCTACAGTTTCTTTACCTCAGACAGAGATGCTAAATCTGAGCTCTGGGCAATAAAAGAGGAGGGAGCTGTAAGTGAGCTGTGAGGTCTTGTCTTTTAAGAGGAAAATACCCCAAACTTCTTTAAATGGAGCTGTGACTCATAGGGGCGTTTTGGAGTTTCTGGAAGTGTGGCTTCCTAAGTCATAATCACTGGAGTGCTAGCTAAAGATGCAGGTTCACAGACCTAACCCACACCGACTAATGAGAGGGGCAGGCCCAGGAATCTGCATTTCACGAGCTTTCCAGGGGATTGGCATTAAACTTGAGAACACTTGCCTTAGTGGAAATCCACCGGGTTGGAAGTCGGAACAGTTGGCTTTTAATCCCAGACTGGGTCATATTGGGGAAATTATCTCTTGGAATTGCATTTTTCTGAGTGGGGCTTGAGAATTCCCTGTAGATCTGGTATTATTTTAGGTTGGAAGATGTGTCTGATTTTGCCTAACGCCAAAGGTTATTTTCACCTGATAGTAGTGACCTCCTAATTGATGTGTCTTGTATTCCAATTTTGAACTTAAAACTATGCCGGTTCACATGTTTAACTTTTAAAAATATCTTCATAGCTATTTTGTAAGTATCAATTTGTACTTCTTAATCCCTCCCCCTGCCCCATTTTTAAAAAATACTGCCCCGTTTTACGTTTTGACTTTAAGTTCCGAGTTTTGAGTCTCTCGTCCTAGTTTAGAGTCTAAGGTTTGGAGAGGTCAGAAAACAGAGCCATGAAAAAAACAACAGAGAGGAAAAACATTTCATTGCATTTTAAGCAGTGCCCAGGGGAGGTGGGGGGCAGGTTAGAATAAATGCCAAAATGCAAAACAAAATTTCTATTAAAAGTAGCAAGGCAGTAGATGACCACACTCCGAATTTTTGCAAATGTTTAGCTAAATTTTTATGCTAGGGGTTGATTAAAAAAAAAATTGTTCTTTGTTTTGAACATTCTAGTGAAACCATGTGAGACTTCCTCTTTGTATTACTTGACCTCAGGCTCCTCCTGGCTCTCTGGTCCTGGGAAGGATTTGTGTGGGGGAGGAGCCTTGGGCTTGGGTTCCAATTCCAGCTCAACTGGGTGATCTTGGGGGACCCCTTCCTGGCCTGGACCTTTTCAGATCTGTCTAAGAAAGGAGTCTGATCGAGGTGTCTGAGCTTTAAAAGTTTCTTGAATGAGAGCTGGTGACCAAAAATGACTTTTAGGGTGGTGAGAATGTGCTAGTCCTGACCTGGGCTGTGGGAGTCCGCTGTCGAGGGGCTGGCTGTGTGTTTCATGTGCTGCTTTCTCTTTCTTTAGGCCTGGGCAGTTTTTAAAGGGAAATTTAAGGAAGGTGACAAAGCTGAACCAGCCACGTGGAAAACAAGGCTACGCTGTGCTTTGAACAAGAGTCCGGATTTTGAGGAAGTAACAGACCGGTCCCAGCTGGACATTTCTGAGCCATACAAAGTTTACCGCATCGTCCCCGAGGAAGAGCAAAAATGTAACTATCCTTGATGGGCACTCAGCCTGACGGGGGCTGACTGGCTTGCAGCTTCCTGTAGGAGACCCTGGGCCTGGGGTCGAAGCCGCCGCCCACAGGATCTGGGTCAGGTGGTTTTAGCTAAACAAAACAGTTCTCTCCTTTGTATAGGCAGATATGGAGCTCTCTTTCCGCTGACCTCACCCACCATCTGCTGCTGACCAAGTGGCAGCTTCCAGTTGAGTGAGAGGCAGCCCTGATGGGAGGAAAGGGCGGGGAGATTGGGTGGCAGCCTGCTCTGCTGCTCACTGTCAGACCAGGAACGTGTTGTAAGACCTCGCTGGGGCTCAGTGATGAGATTGGATAGGAGCAGGGATCCTCTGACAGTGTGGAAGGAATTCCTCTTGTTTTCTGGCTACTCTCAGAGGAGGCTGGGGAAGATCAGGTAGACAAAAGGGATGGCTGATTAAAGTAGAGGGTAAGGTTGTTGAATGAATTTGTGGATGATAGCATTGTTGGTTTCATTGCTGGAGATAGGATATGACTCAGTATATTGTTAGATCGTGCTCATTGTGTGGGAACGCGGGATGTGATAATTCCTGAAGCCTCTTCCAGCTCTAAAATCCTAGGAGAGCATTTGTGAAGAGTTTAGGCAGGGATAGCAACGAAATGCTGCACAGGCCCCAGGCTCGATTCCTGTGCTCTGGTCAGACCTCACTAATCAATCAGGATATATGGAGCTCAGATCTGGCCTTAGAATCTTTTCAAAGTAGTGTGCTGTGCAGCTGCTCTGAATCAGAGCTGGCCCATGAGATAAAATCTAATCGCCATCTCTGGTTTAAAACATTCTTTTAACACATTGATTTTCTTAGCCATTCGATGTGGCAATTAGAATATTGACCCGACAACCCTTATCTTCTTATAGGTCCATTAGTTGCCTGAAAGAAATAGAACCCCCCAAAACTGCTTAGGACTGTGCAGAAATTCTGAGTTTGAGCTCTCCACTGTGGCAAGGTTGAAAATATTGATGTATAATTTTTAAAAAGTAAAAATTGTGACCCTAACAAATATATGATGAGCTTGAGTCAGAGAGTTATTTGACTCGTTGACTAGGGAGCTAGGGGGATGACAAAGGTTGTTTGACAAAACATGACACGGGTATACGTGGTCAGTGAAGGACAGAAGGCTGAGCCAAACTGACGAGTGTCCAATCTGGCAATGCAACAGTAGTTTGGGGGTTATCATTTCTACTGGTCATTTCTAGCTTAATCGCCTGTAAATTAACACCTGCCGTTACTGAGTCTGAAGCCTATTTGATAGTCAGTAATACTAAGTAAAAAAAACTGACCTTGCCCTGGAGAATCAGATGATCCTTAGGGGAGACCTTTGAGAATTCAGCAGTCCTCAACCTTTTTGGCACCAGGGACCGGTGCTCCTATGAGAATCTAATGCCTGATGACCTGAGGTGGAGCTGAGGCGGTGACGCTGGCTCTGGGGAGCGGCTGCAAATACAGATAAAGCTTTGCTTGCTTGCCGGCTGTACACCTCCTACTGTGTGTCCTGGTTCCTAACAGGCCACGGACTGGTACCAGTCCATGACCCGGGGGTTGGGGACCCCTGTCTTAGATGATCCTCTGGAGTGGTTTTCAGAGACCAGTTATCTTTCTGCTTTATTTCCTAGTTTTGAATACTTTTTTCGTCATCATAAAGTAAATTGTGATTTGAAGGAATAGAGTTTTTCTTAGTCCCTCACCCCCAGGATTAGCCAAGCTTGAACTGACAGGTGACCCTAACTTGTTTATAGCATGGGGCACAGCCAGCATCACCTGCAAGGGTAGATGTTAAACAAGCAGGTTCTCAGGGGGCATAGAAATGTTACATTTGCATAATGCCTACATGGACCATTCTCCTCTGTACTTCAGTGATTTGCAAGCTACATTGGGGGTGCCCCACCTGCCCCCTACTTCCCCCATTAACAGCTTCTAAGTGAATTCTTGAATCTATCAAAATAGAATCAAAATTCAGTGAGGATGACATAATAGGTCAGTTCTATAGATCACTGAGACTAATGAATTCCAGCAAACAGGTATTTGTTGTTTATAATACATCTCACACTGATAAACTTAATCAGGTGAGTTTCTGGATCGAAAAGAGGCATAAGAGTGGAGAAGAAACTAGACTGGTCCAGAGTGCTTGTTGTGGAATCACTCAAGCACCTGTAGTGGTTCCTGATGAAGATGGGTTCAAAATGGGCATGGGCGAGTCTTTGTGGTATGCCATGTGTGTGCATGGCATGTGTGTGTACAGATGCGTGCGTGTATATTTGGAAAGGCCAAAAAGAGATTTCCTGCCAATTGTTTAAAAAAAAAAAAGACTTCAACCTGCAAACACATTTTGCCAGGAAATCTTTGAGTGTCTTCAAATACCCCACCTTGTAAATTTAACCTCTGTTGGCTGGTAAATGCCTGGTGTAAAGGATATCTGATATGAATTCACTTGAGATCTCAGCACACAGAAGGAAGAGACCACAGTGTCCTCCAAGTGTTAGAAAGAACCACCACGTTCTCTCTTTTGACTTTACTGATCAGATGACTGAAGAAGCATGGGAAAAAATCTCTAGGCCTTTTCCAAACTTATTGACTATTATTTCTCTCAACTCAGCACTTAAAAAAAAGAAAACACACAGGTTATGGCCTCGATGATGGTTGTGATGCCTCATGGTCATATTTTGTCATGTTTGTCTGATTTTCCTTAGGCAAATTAGGCATGGCGACTCCTGGCTGTGTGAATGAAGTCACGGACATGGAGTGTGGGCGCTCTGAAATTGATGAGCTGATCAAGGAAGTAAGTGGGGGCAGCATTTCCAGGGGTCTAGCCCTGACAGCAGAAGCCTCAATGTGTTTTAGTGAGCATGTCTCCCAGCAAAAGTCACCTCAACCCTGACTGAGAAGGAATACAAGGTCTAGGCCAATTAGAAGCCTTGGGAGGCTTGCCTCTGCTACCTAGTTAGCTCCTTCATCCTGAGGGCTGGGGCAGAGCTGTGTGCTCAGCGTCAGTGACGTTCCCTCAAGCTCTAGACTTCAGATTTAGACATTCTGAATGGCAGTCTTTTATAATGCATCCTGTATCCCCTTGCCTTCTTAGCAGGCTGCAGTGAACAGAATGTAAACTCTCCTTTCTGCTTGGGGTTGTACTTACGACATGATTATTTTGCAAGTTCTCATGGCTGGTGGGCTGCCTACTCTCTTTTAATATGCAGCTTTTCATCTTTGTTGGGTTAGAAAGCCGTATAACCAAGCTTATTTGAATTGTATGTAAGTCATACTTAATAGGCTATGAGTAAAGGATTAACAAAGTTTTAGGCAATGGGTTTTCGAATACCAATTTTAGCTATTTGGATGCCATTTCTTCTACCTTTAGCCTCTTAACTTTTTTTTTTTCTTATGGCTCTTACAAGGCATAGCTAAAGTAATTACATAGCTCTTGCAGATGGTGGTGTGGGGGGCTATAGAAATTCTTCTTAATACTCATGTGGCAATACTAGTCTTAGGAGTAGCTCGGTGGTCCAACAATATAGATAACAAAATGTAACCTACCGTAAGCTGCCTGGCTTTTCTGCACATGGCAGCTGTTACATTTCTGGGTGGTCTTTGGCAGCAGACTGAGTGAATTCCTGGCTTCATGTCTCTCCAGCAATGTCCTGTTTTCCGTATGAAGCTTTTCTGCTGACTCAGCTAAGGGAGTGAGATTATTGGATTGACACACCAGGATCACAGGAAAAGCAGATTTTCAAAAACGTTTCCTAACTGAATTTATCGACCTTGTTTAAAGAATGGGTCAGAGATGGAAAATCTAGACATGGCACATTGAATGAGATTTGCTAAAGCATGGCAGAGTTTGTTCAGTATCACTGTTTATTGGTGTCCCAGAATTTTCAACAGGCAGTTCCATGCAAAAGCCCATAAACTTATTAGGGGCCGTGAAGAGGCTAATAATTTGGTCATGTGGTTTGATCACTAATTCCGCTGGATTTTCTTGGATTTTTCAAGATGCAAAGTAAAACTTCCCTTCTGTCTCATGAGATAAAGACGACGATATGGTTTTAGTTGGGCAACACTGGGGTCCTGCTTTGGAAGCTCAGTGACTACACTGCTCTTCTCTCTCGCCCCCAATGACACAGCCTTCTGTGGACGACTACATGGGGATGGTCAAAAGGAGCCCTTCCCCACCTGAGGCCTGCAGGAGTCAGCTCCTCCCAGACTGGTGGATGCAGCAGCCCAGCGCAGGTGAGGATGGGAGCCCAGAGCTGCTCCAAGTGGTGTGGGGGCTGGATTCGTTTGAATGGTTTCAGCCTTATAGCATCTGGGGCTGGGGCCTTATAGCATCTGGGGGTGAGGGCGGGAATACTGCTATGATTCCTGTTTCACTGAAGGTAACTGAGCCCAGAGAGATGGCCTTTGAGGGCAGAGCCCAGCCATGCCCTTAGCCCCATTCGCACTGCCTCTCAGAAAGGTGCATGTGTCCACTCTCCCCTACGCTCCTGGGAAGGTCAGATTGGAGGGACTGTGGGAGCTTCTCCAAGACTAGGGGGAATTCGTGGCTCCGGGCCATGTTAGGTCTGTTAGGTCTGCCATCCGGTTTCTTAGGACATTAGGGACCCCTCTGATCCACTCATAACCCAAAGCGTCTGGGGAGCATGAGAGCTCAGGCCTAGATCTGAACCCCCAGTCAGGAAGTTGAGTATCTTATATGAGGCTCAGTTCACTCATCTAAAAAGCAGAGACACCAGTATCTGCCCCATGGGGTCATGAGGCTAAATAAGGCATTCACCTGCTTATTAGTTTCTGATGACTCTGTGCTTGAAATGACCCCCCCTCTCCATAAGCGTGAATGCCTTTGCTTCCTCCCTTGGCTTCTCTCCCACTGTCCCCTATAGGAGGCCGGGAGGTGACAGCTGGCCTGGCGGGCCTCCAAGGCTGCCAGGGCGTGGAGTGGTGCCAGTCAGGGGCTCTCGGAGAGTGTCATCTCCCTGTGCTCGGCAGCTAGCTTGGGCATGGGCTCCCCTCTGAGACAAGCTCTGGATGGTGGTCACACAGTCCAGCGATATTTCGGGAGCGGGCCCTCGGGGGGGAAGGAAATGTGGCCCCACAGTGTCACACTGACAAATGGTCAGAAATCCCACAGCACAGAGGAAGTCTCCCCCCGCTCCATGCTGGTTGGGTTGACGTCTGGTTTTCTGCATTTATGAAACATGGGTCGCCACACTGAGAGGGAAAAACACCAAATTCAGCGGAAGCCTGTGGCAGGGCCTCAGGAGCACGCCATATGTGGCTTTTGAAGAAACTTTTGGAGAGGAGGAGAATTTGGCCTGGTTCTCCGCACACAACTGGGTCTGGCTGGGTCTGAATCTGCTTTTCTTTCTCCAGCAGGCTTGCCGCTGGTGACAGGATACACGGCCTACGACACGCACCATTCAGGTACGAGGTATCCTGGGCTGGGCAGGGGAGGGGGAGGGCACTCTTTGAAGACAAAGCTCAAACGACCTGTGTGGGTTCTCGAGGATCTGTGGACGAGCCACAGTCTGGTGTCAGAAGTTGGACACCTGATTCTTCCTTTTCACTGTTTGGTTTGGGAGCGAATAAGTGGCTGGCCTTTTTGAGTCTCTTCTTGGATTGGACCAACAAATAGATCCAAAGAGCTCTTTACAGACGTGATTTTATGTGGGAGAAATTGCTTGAGGACAGACACACTCAAGGCCCAGCTCTGCCCCTCTCATGTGACCCCAGGAAAAATAATTGGACCACTCAGAGAGCCTCAGACCCCTTGTCTGTAATAGGAATAATAATAGCAACTACCTTGTGGAAGTGTTCTGGGGATTAAACATAGTGTTATTAAAACTTTTTGGTAGGGACATACTGGTCAATGAATGTCACCAGTGTCAATTTCTTTTACTGTCTTCCACACCCATGTTTACAACAATAATGATACTAATAACGATCATGGTGGTGACAGTGGTGGTGATGGTGATGATGGTGACGATAGTGGTTATCATGGTGATGGTGGTGATGGTGATAATAGTGATGATGAAAGTGGTGGTTGACATTAGTGAATGTTAACTGGGTCCAAGGTCATCGCTAGGACGTACATGGCCTCATCTCATTACCCTTTTGTAACACCTTTAGGTGGGTGCCATTATTCCCATTGTACTGGCTTAGAAACCCCTGGTCTCACAGTCTGTAGAGCTGGGGTATGGCCCCAGGCTGTCCTATCCATGCTCCTGCCCCCCGTGGACAGAAGACACCTGTGGGCCATCTCATTGTCTAATTACACTGGGGACTTGGACCATGCTCCTTCCAGTGGCCCCTGAAACTTACATTCAGGCTCATTGATGGCATCTTCAGAGCAAAGGAAGCCAGTGTCTTCTCCAACAGCTGCTGGGTTCTATGAGAAGGGAACAGCCTGACTCATCAAGATGGACCACAGAACGTTAGGGCTGGGGATCCGAGACCTCCTGGTGTAGAGGAGGAAACAGGGCTCAGAGAGAAGTGTCTTGACCAAGGCCCTCAAGGGACGGGTGTTTTTTGGGGTAGTGGAGGCAGGTTCTCACCCAGGCAAGAAAATTATAAAGCTCTTATCATTGCACAGCAGCCCTTGGGGACTGTTATAACTCCGGCTTCACAGATGAGGAAACAGCCTTAGAAGTTAAATTGCTCATCCAAGGTCACACTGCTGGTAAGCAGGGTTGCCAGGTTCAAACCCAGGCACCTGGCTTCAAGCCTGTTTTCAGATTTACACTGGATAGCTGCCATGCTCACCAGAGGCCCAGCTCCCGGAGGCCCTGGGTCATGGGACTGGGCCTTTGACCTAGTTAGCTCTGGGCTGTGGCCCAGGGAGTCTGCTGACCAGTGCTTTCTGGGGACAAGAGAGTAGTCAGGCACTGGGCCGTGGCATCTGGGTGAGAAGACACGGTCTGAGGAGGAAGCTTTCTCAAGTTATTCCAGAGCTGTCTCAGCACGCAGCAAATAGAGCGACTTTCTGCCGTAGCCTCGTGCAAAGAAAATACTACAACGTTCCTCTAGAAGTGATGGACTTTGGTACCTCTGTTCAGTTCACCCCCCGCCCCATGTAAAAAAGTTGATGTCGAGGGTCCCCAGTTCTTAACCCTGCAGGCTTGAGGTCAGGTAACGAGTGGAATGGCAGGTGCAAGACAACAGGGAGCGGCAAAGTGGAGGGGCCATGCCTCATGGGTTCGCTTGTGGTGGTTAGTGCCTTGTGGACTTGCAGACCCAGCCAGGCTTAATTTTCCCGTTTTTTTCTAGAGAAACCAGAGGTCTGGATTTTTAGGGGAAATCTTCCCATATAAAAAGGTAGCAGCAAGTCTGCATTAATAATAGCCCACTGTGCTGGTGGATCCAAACATGGCTGTGGCTGCTCATTTGTGCTCTCGACTGTATGTGTTTGAAATGATTGGGGTGAAAAGTGATGTTTGATTGGTGCTTAAGAACACAGATTTGGAGCTGCCTTCGGGGGAGGGAATGAGCAATAGTGCCATTGAGGGCAAGTACCTTAACCTGTCTATGTCTTGGTTTCCTCATCTGGAAAATTTTTAATATTTTTTTATTTTTAATTATAGTTGGCCTACAATATATTAGTTTCAGGTGTACAACATAGTGATTAGACATTTATATACCTTACAAAGTGCTCATCTGACACTGTGCATAGTTATTATAATATTATTGACTATATTCTTTGTTATACTTTACATTCCCATAACTATTTTGTAACTACCAATTTGTGCTTCTTAATCCCTTCCCCTTTTCACCCATCTCTCCCCGCCTCCCATCCTGCAGCTATCAAAATGTTCTCTGTATCTACGAGTTTGTTTCTGTTTCGCCGGTTTGCTTATTTTGTTATTTAGATTCCATATGTAAGTGAAATCATATGGCACTTGTCTTTCTCTGTCTGACTTACTCCTCTCAGTACAATACCCTCTAGGTCCATCCGTATTTTTGTAGATGGCAAGATTTTATTCTTTTTCATGGCCGAGTAGTATTCCATTGTATATACGAATCACCCTTCTTTATTCATTCATCTATTGATGGACGCCCAGGTGGTCTCCATATCTTGGCTATTGTAAAAATGCTGCAATGAATATATGGATTCACAAGTCCCTTCGAAGTAGTGTTTCGGGTTTCTTTGTATAAATATCCAGAAGTGGGATAACTGAGTCCTTCTTTGTCTCTTGGCATAGCCTTTGTTTTAAAGTCTGTTTTGTCTGGCATAAGTAGTGCTACCCCAGTTTTTTTGTTTGTTTCTATTTTCATGAAATGTCTTTTTCATCAAGTGTCTTTTTCATCTTTTTACTTTCAGTCTACGTGTGTCTTTCAATCTGAAGTGAGTCTCTTGTAGGCAGAAAATGTAAAGGTCTTATTTTCTTGTCCATTCGGCCAGCCTATCTTTTGATTGGAGCATTTAATCCATTTACATTTAAAATAATGGTTGATATATATGTAGTTATTGCCATTTTATTATTCATATTTTTGATCTTTTCCTCTTTTCTTTTTCTTCTTAAAGAAGTCCCTCCAACATTTCCTGTCCTATCGGCTTGATGATGATGAAGTCCTTTAGCTTTTTCTTGTCTGGGAAGCTCTTTATCTGTCCTCTAATTCTAAATGATAGCTTTGCTTGTAGAGGAATCTTGGTTGCAGGTCCTTGCTTTTCATCACTTTGAATATTTCTTGCCAATTAAAAATGGGTATAATTATTAATAGTCTCTATCTCATATGGTCATTGTGAGGATGAAATGTGCTAATAGGCCATAAGCACTTGGCGACAGCATTTGGGACATTCTCTGTAGTCCAGGGACTGTGGCTTATAATTTCAGGAGTCTCATCTATGTAGTTAATCTATGTAGGCTCACCTTTTGTCCCGTTACCCCAATTTATTTAATAACTGCCTATATGGTGCTGGCATATGCCGAGCACAAACACAAACTCATGCAACCCTCACAGCCACTCAGTAAAGTGGGTGTATTATAATCTCCACTTTGCTGATGGAGAAACTCAGGCAGAGTGGGAAGCTGCTTGCCCCAGATCACACACTGGGATTACGCATCATGCAGGGGGCTCCAGAGCCTGCTCCGAAGCCTGCAGGCTGCCCTCGGTGGGTCTGGATGTAACAGGAGCAGGACAGGGTTGTAGTGGGGCTCTTAGAATTGCAGAAGGGCTGGACCGAGGACCTGGCAGCCCTTGGATGGCTTCTGCTCAGTGGGTCTCCGCTGCTCACCTGTAGGAGCGGCGAGTCATGTCTCAGGCCTTTCCAGCTCAAACCTTCTTGGAGCCTAAGCTGTCCCATGGCTTTGGGGTCACTAGGATAGCCCTGCCTGGGCACCTCTGGAACACCTTGTCTGCTGCTCCCTCTGAAGTAGTCAGTTCACACGGTCAAGAGGCACTAGTATGAGATAAGATTGCAGCAATGACAGGGCAAAGGGGCAGAATGGTGACAGAGTCATCTGGAGTGTTTCATTCATTTGGGACAAAGTTCAGAGTTGTTCCTGTGTGAAGGAAGTAGAATGTGTCAAGTCATCAGGCAGTGAGGATGTTGCCGACGAGGCGGGTGGGAGGATAGTGAACTGAGGGTAACGAGATATCGGGTTGGATGCTGGTGCTGCCGCTTACCTGCTGGGTGACCCTACCGGGGCCTCAGTTTCCCCAAACATCAAGTAAATGAGTTGGACTAGAGCACCCGCAGCTCTAACTCCCAACCCTACATGATTCTAGAATGCTATTTAACTCCGGTATGGGAGAAAATGGAGCCTGTGAACAGTAGTGGAGAGTCTTAATATTTGACTGAGCAAATGTTTCTTGAACAGAGAGAGAGAGGCCAGTGGGAAGGTCTAAAGAATTGTGAGTGTACAGCGCTGTTAACCAGGCGGGATGGGTGGCCACCCACCGGGCTGCTCCAGACAGTTGTGCAGGTCATGCAATGCACAGCTCTAGTGGTACCATGGAGCTGGGCAGCTCACAGCCTGTGTGGCTCCAGGGGACAGCTCTGGACTAGTCGGGGTCCCTTAGAAGGTGCCCCAGACTCACCAAGCTCATTGAGAGTGCATGTAATTCTTAGTTTAAGGCTTTTAAAATGCAGATTCCTCAGGTAATATCCCCAAATTTAACTCGTTTTCATTCTTACCTTAGTTTAGAGGTTCCCAAACTTTAGTCACGTAAGCTCCACCTTCGCAATCAATTTTTATACCTGGGTACCACCTGGACTGTTATTAACATCCTATTTTTCTCCAAATCTTACTTTTTCAAACTTAAGTTTATTTTAAATGAGGGCCATCTATCATGGTCTGTTAAAGGAGATCCACTGTCACTTTCTATAAGTAGGAAGTCAGAGGTCAAAGCAAATTCAGTGAAAACCAGATATACTGTTTAGCAGTTCTGGCCAGATATTACCACCTGCTCAAGGCTTGGAGCCCCAACTCCTGTCCTTTGTTAAAAGGGTGGTTGTCAGGATTCAGTGTTAAAAATCCATCGGCACCAAACTGGGGCTTTCTTTTTGAGATGATCAGAGATTAAGAGAATATTGAAAATGGAATAATCTTTATTTATTTGATGCTGAGTCACTCCCGCCTCCAATCATTTTATATGCAGCACATTCTGGGAAATGTTGCCTCGATTTAAACGTTTTTCATACTCTTTCCTGAGAATGGGTTTGGATGACAGGTTTCAGAGAGATTCTTAATTAGAATCCAAGGAATCTCAAGGAAACTGTGAATTTGCCAAGAAAAATATTACGTCTTTATTTTCACTAACCTCGAATTCTAGCATTTCCTTCTGTTGTGAATGTAAGCAACAGGCCACACACCTTTGTACAATATATTTGACTATATATCTAGATAACATTGTATAATATATATTATAGAGTATAATGTTGTTTAATATATGTATATCATAACATGGTATAATATATAGTATAAGATCATGTAACAGTGTTACATCGGTGCCTATGAAATGGAGCTATTTTCCTAAGAAATTAAGTTGTCAAAACCTCCTTATCCTCCAGGTGACTGGTAAATTGCACAGATGTCAGGCCTTCCCCAATAGTACAGAGAGCACTACAGTAGTTTTTTATATTCAGAATCATTAGTTTTCTCAGTAATCCTGAGCGTTTATTTATGTTTATAAAAATCATTATTTCTAGAAGGGGTGCGTGAACTTCCCAGAATGCCATAGAGGACCTAGACACACAGAAAGTTAAGCTCCCCAGTTTGGGAGAAAGAAAGGTTCTGGACATTTGCGTGGGAAGGACCAGGGAGCCCCCTTTCTATCAGTCTTGATATTGTCCCCCTGTTCCCCACAGCCTTCTCTCAGATGGTCATCAGCTTCTACTATGGGGGCAAGCTGGTGGGCCAGACCACCACCACCTGCCCCGAGGGCTGCCGCCTGTCCCTGAGCCAGCCGGGTCTGCCCAGTGCCAAGATGTATGGGCCCGAGGGCCTGGAGCTGGTGCGCTTCCCGCCGGCCGACACCATTCCCAGCGAGCGGCAGAGGCAGGTGACTCGGAAGCTGTTTGGGCACCTGGAGCGTGGCGTGCTGCTGCACAGCAGCCGGCAGGGCGTGCTGGTCAAGCGGCTGTGCCAGGGCCGCGTGTTCTGCAGTGGCAACGCTGTGCTGTGCAAGGACAGGCCCAACAAGCTGGAGCGTGACGAGGTGGTCAAGGTCTTTGACACCAGCCAGTTTTTCCGAGGTCGGTACCACCATTACCTGCTGCTCAAATCCTAACGATCACTCCTCCTTCCCGTGGGCCATTCGCCACCGCAGTCCTTGTGGGGACATGGAGGGGCCAGGGGCATGGGTGCAGCAGGAGCAGCCCTTGCATTTGAATCCTGCTCCTCGCTTTCCTAACGAGCCATCCTGGGGAACCTCTCTGTGTGTAGAATGGGAGTGCAGCCGCGTACCTTTCCGGCGTGGCTGTTGGGAGAATAAAGGAGCTTAGCACCTTGCGACTCTGTTGCGGGTTGTCTCCAGGCACTGGGAACTGGTTAGAAATGCAGAGTCTCAGGCCCCACCCTGGCTCTCTGGGTCAGAATCTGCATCTTTTTTTTTTTTTTTTTTTTAAACGCCTATAGTACTTGGTCTTCCTAGGTGGTCTCCCATTCAAGTACTAACCAGGCCTGACCCTGCTTAGCTTCCGAGATCAGATGAGATTGGGCACGTGCAAGGTGGCATGGCCGTAGACCAGATCTGCATCTTGACCAGATTCTTGGGGATTGATGTATGCTGACCTTGTACACACCGAGTCTGCAGGACAACACCCACACGCAGAAGTGCTGGGCATCAGCTGTTGTTATTCTGTGAGGGGGATAATTAGGACCCCACCCTTCAATGTTCCCCCTAGAAGGTCAGGGTGTCTGAAGTCAATCTGGCCACCTACAGTGCTGCGCACGACCCCCTTCTCTGTGCCCCCCAAACTCCCTGCTCCTCTTCCTGTAATAGCACCGGCTAGGAGCTAGTGTGACCCCTCTCCTGCCACCTGGTGTAAGAACTCCCGGAGGCCTCCGGGAGAAGGGGCCCTGGAAAGGCAGGCGAGGTGACGTGTGAGCTGAGGTGTGAGCACGGAGGAGCCCACTGGGTGAAGAGGGTGGCAAGGCCCCGAGTCGCCAACCTCCCCTCCCCCACCCCGTGTCTCTCCAGAGCTGCAGCAGTTCTATGGCAACCAGAGCCGGCTGCCAGACAGCAGGGTCATGCTGTGCTTCGGAGAAGAGTTCCCAGACATGACCCCCTTGCGCTCCAAACTCATTCTCGTGCAGGTAAGAACAGGGAGCTTCAGAGCTCGTGGCCGGGTCTCCTGGCCCACACGTCAGGACCCAGTTTCTACTTGGGCTGCAGGACAGGCGGCGAAGACAGGGGTACTCCACTTGTGTGCAGAGGCAGGCCCGAGCAAGACCTTCGAGTGGGGAAAGTGGGTTCTCGCCACCTCTGCACCATCTTCTCATGTTCCAGGCCTCTCACGACTCAACGTGTCCCCCCAACTTTTTTTTTTGTTTGGTTGGTTTTCTAAGTCAAACCCTCCTTCCCAGGATGATTCCACCTTGCCTTAAGGTCTAAGTGACAGATGAGGGCTTTGCAAGCCCTTATTTAACTCTAGTCAAAGGAATGAAACTCATGGTGGAATTCTGGACACTGGCCAGCCAGGTTGGGACAATATTGGGAAAGCATATCTAAGAGTCTTTGTAGGAATACCGCTCGCCCTTTCTTTGCATCTGCCTTTTCTGGGTTCATCCCTTTGGGACGCGAGTGGAGGTTCTGAATGATAGCTTCGGACTGGGGTAATCCTACCTCCATCTCTTGCCTTGTGCACCATCCCTCTAGATTGAGCAACTCTACGTCCGGCAGCTGGTGGAAGAAGCTGGGAAGAACTGTGGTGCTGGGACCATGATGCAGGCTCCCGAGGAGCCTCAGCCAGACCAGGTCTTCCGGATGTTTCCAGATATTTGTGCCTCCCACCAGAGATCCTTTTTCAGAGAAAACCAACAAATCACAGTTTAAGTCTCTCTCTCGGGCACCCCACCCTGCCCACATCTCGAATTTCATTATTACAATTACTGTCGTAATTATTTAAGGATGTGGATCCCTCTGACCTGGGGTGGGGTGCTTCACTCTGCTCTTAATTTAGTAAGGGCATTCTCTGAGGACTTGACATTTAAAGGCAAATTGTATCACAGTTCTACTCTTCAGATGTAAACACTGAAACTCACACCAAATGGTCTGGATGCTGTAACTAGAACTGTGATTAAAACATATATTTCCTGCATTTTTTCCTAATTATCATTAGTTGCTACAATTCTTTCAGCATTTTGGGATAACCGATATTTCCAAAGACTTGGCATTCAGTTTGGCTAGCACATAGCTGCTTCCAGTAAAGAAATTTGGAGAAGATCGACTTGTGAATACAAGGCTGCTTTTCGTCGTTATCTTTTGTTAGAGCTATAAATTTATGATTTCATGTTCTTGATTTGATGTGGAGTGTCTTTTTACTTTTAAGCATGTTGATAAGGTTTTAAAATACTTAGATACTAGCCTTCATTTAATAAGAGAAAGCAAAACTTTTGGCTTGTTAGGCGAATGTATATTCTTCCCAGAATCTGGTGCTAGGACAGCATTTTCATCGCCAGGTAAACCAAAGTGTGTCTGAAATTTTTCAGACAATGAAAAATTTCCCTTTGGTCCTTTGTTGCCAGGAAGGTTAGAGCTAAATTTATTTTTTTTCATTTCTGTAATTAAACCACCCCAGATACCTCTCTCTTTTCTTCTTTGTAAATGGTTTTGACCCATTTTTAAAATATTTGTACTTTTAATTGTCCTATTTTACACGTCTTATTATTAGAAATTGCTTTTCTTCTTTTCTTTTCTTTTTTTTTAAATAAAGTGAGCAGGACGTAAACCACAAGTTCAAACAATAATTGTGACTTGTACCCACATTTTGATTGTGCCTTTGATTCAGCAGACCCATTCATTCACCAGCCAATGGTGTTTGGTGTGTGGGCATGGCTAGAGTGAATTGGGGGATGTGGATGACCTGTGATAGCCTGTCACCACTGCACTGGCCATGGGGTAGACCGTGGCCAGGAGAAAGCCTTCCCCCATCCTCACCACTCCGTGAGCTTCAAAACAGCTCCACTCGGTACCAAATTCTCCTCTTCAACAGCCGTCCCATGGGATTTCCATGGAGAAGTTCCAGTTTTAGCCTTAGAAGAACTTACCCTATTTACTAGCAAATAAGATGCATTTATTACTCAAGAATGTGTCAAAATGTTTATCCTAAATCATGATACTAATCAAAAGCCAGGGGCAGAAGACAAAACAATGGCTTGGCTTAATGGCGAGGGCGGTTCACGCCATCTCGCTGACATTCCAGTATGCAGTATGGCCCGTCTCTACACCCACTTTAAAATCACTTTCAGGATTAAAAAGCACTTGAACATTTTTTCTAAAAAAATGTTATATTTTGCTAGATTCGGGTGCCTTTTATTTGTCTGTGTGTCCTGCGTGGTGCACTGGCCCTGCTAGAGATAGGCACACGTGGTGCGTGTCGAGCGCCTGCCCCATTTCTTGCCAGTGCAGAGTTAGTTGGTTAGACTGGGTCAGTCACTCCGTGGCTGTAGACTCCAGGCAGGTTTAGGGGGGTGGGGTGGGTCCTTTTGCCTCCCTTTTACTGTTTTAAAGGTGTAGAAAAGAACTTTCTTTATTCTTTTCCCTTTATCATTCAGCCTGGGTCACTACCTCCCCTGACTCAGAATCTCACAATGAAAGGGCAAGAAGAAGCCGTATCTGTCAACACTCATTTTGAGAAATGGGATTAAGGGTTGGGATTTCAGGGACAAATTAGCCCAGCTCAGCCAACCTGGCAGCCAGCCTTGTGACCACAAAGTCTCTGATTTAAAATCTGAAAAGTCAAAGAATGCCTACTTATTTTCCCATCGTTACTGCTATGAGGGTGATGCCGGTGTAGCGCTAAGTCAGACTTAATGATTATAGGGCCTTTAGATGTGTCTGAAGTCAGATAAAAATATAAGAAAACTCCAGTAAGAGTGGCTTTTCTCCTTTGGCCAACAAAGTGAGCATTACATGTTTTAAGGATAATGGACCTGTCTTCTGCAATTGTGTATGATAACAATAGGCTTTAGTCCTTAGCTCAAATGAATGTTAAAGCACACATCTTTAATATAGCAAATGAATATTTATTTTTGTATGCATTCAAAAAGTATATTGATCTTTTCTATTCTTTATTAAAATAAAGTGCTCTTTTTTAAAGCTGATGTGTGCGCTGTTTTTTTAAGTCACCACCAAATATTTTATCATTTTCACCAAATTCTAAGTTCTTTAAAGGGGAAATTAAAAAATAATACTGCACTGCGATTTTCAGGATTTTTTGCTTATTTGTTTTTTATTCATTCCCAGAATAATAGCAAAAAGGTATGGAGGCCTGCAGATCATTCAGAATTTCCTGGAGCAGATATGGGCTCACACCATGTTTTTATTAAAATTCGAGGGCCTGTTTGGGTTTCTGTGACCTGACTGATGAATGTGCAGAGGGTGTGGGAAAAGTAGAGTTCGGCATTGTAAATGCTATCCCAGAAGCTGCTGGGAATGATTTGCAGGAGGGCCACCCAGGTTGGGTCTTCACATGTGATGGGGTGTGCATCCTTACATTCAGACACATGCTCACTGGGCTAGGTCCTAGGGGTCGATCGGGGACACGAGAGGCCCTGTTTGGCAATCGTGGAGATTGCTTCTAGTCTAGTGGGACATGCCTGTTGCACAACCCAGTACAAATCGATCAATAGCAGGGAGGTACAGACTCTGGCTAAGCCAGGTGGAGAGGTGTTACCCAACACATTCTGTCTTACACAGCCATGCGTATTCTTTCTCCAGACTCAGATAAACCCAGTGCGACTGGGGCTGTCCTTATTCTCAGCTTACAGATGAGGAAACCGAGGCACAGGTTCGTGCTTGACTGACTGTGGGCCATTTGTGTCCTGGGGGCACAGTTCAGTCTGAGAAGCTTTCCGACATCTTGCCGCTGTGCTTAAGGCTGCTAACACCACGCTAAAAAAGGTAGCAGCTGGGCAAATCTCTGATTTTCTTAGAAATCTTTGCAGTGAGTCATGTTAATTCCCGAATGTTGCAAGTAGGAGTTTTGTTTATAAGCAAGCCCTTTATTGTCCTGTGGATTCAGGGCCAGATGCAGAAACTTGATAAAGTCTGCTTCTCTCCAGAGTTCATCGTCCTTGTGCAGACAGTGGACAAACCTTCTCATTCAGCTTCTTGCAGCAGCCTTGGAGGGTGAGGAGGGAATTCAGAGGCAAGATGCTTCAGGAATAACTGGGGGCTCTAGAACATGTTGTTACGACTGTAGATGTGAACTAGCTTTTGAGATGTTGACCTTTCTCTGAGACCTGAAGGGCAGCGAGCAGGAGTGGGCTGATGAGACATTCTGGAAAGCAAGCAGCCTTCACTTTTTGTATTTTAAAAACATTTAAAGAAATGAAAGATATTTCAACAATTGCTTTCTGAGGGCCTCTTAGTGCACTAACTTCGACAAAATCCATCTGTGATATGAAATTTTTGTCTTTTTTTTTTTTTGTAATGTCCACATGGATTGAGATGATGACCCCTGGGGTAAACATCCACAGGCTCTGCTGGGCCCTGGGAATCCTGGGAGAATCCTCCTGAAGGGGCCGACTGGGCAGGCATCCCTGCGTGCTATGGGGACAATTCTTTCCATAAAGAAGCAATTGTGGGAACTTATCTGTGTGAGTGATTCAGACTCTCCATAATAGAATGTTTTGCAATTCAACCACTTAGAAATATTTAGAAATTCTTTCTAAAGAATGATCTATAGCTAATGACTGTAACAGCTCAGTAGGCTGAGAGTGGGGGAGGGGTGGCTTCTCAATGGAAAGTCTGGCTGCTTTAAGTAAAAGTAGGAGGGAAGCAGCAAACGTCTCAACCCACTCATAATCTATACCTCCCTCTTGGAAACGCACACCATACACTGGCATATTAAAAGGTTTCACTTACAGTAAGGCACTCATTTAATCCAGTGTTTCCCAAATTTATTTGCTCTGATGTTATGCCTTTGCAATGTGTCTATGGGTGAGTGATGCCTAATCCGAACTGAACAACCTTAGGTGTTGAGAGGAAAGTGTGCATATTTTTTTTTCCTGCTCTTGGCCTGTCATTCTGTCTAGATGGAGTCTGCCAGGGCGGGGATGGCTTTACTCATCTCTTTCTGTGTAACAAACTACTCCTAACCTCAGTGGCATAAAAACATTTTACTTTGCTCATGGATTTTGTGGGTCAGGATTTAGACAGGGTACAATGGTGTTGGCTTTTCTCCATTCCGTAATGTCTGGGGTCTTATCTGGGAAATTTCAAACCATTGAGAGTGACTTGAGGGTCTAGGGGGTAGAAGCACTTGAAGGCTTTTTCATCTATATATCTGGTGCCTGGGTCAGGAAAACTGGAAGGCTGGGTACAGCTGGAATGTCCACGTGTGGTCTCTCTATGTAGTTTGGGCTTCCGCGCCATATGGCAGCCTCAGGGCAGATCAGTGGACGACGGGGAAGCCGAATGGCTATTTATGACCTGGACCTAAATGCCATTTAACATCATTTCTGCTACACTCTATTGGTCAAAGCAGTCACAAGGCTGCCCAGATTCAGAACAAGCAGAGACCCCCACCTTCTGATGATAAGAGTGTCAAAGAATTTGCAGCCATGTTTTAAAACTGCCACGGGGGCCCATAAGCATCTCCTTTGCTACTCATCCCACCTACCTTTTTAGAACCCTTCTGATGATAAGAGTGTCAAAGAACTTGCAGCCATGTTTTAAAACTGCCACTGGGGCCCATAAGCATCTTCTCCTTTGCTACTCATCCCACCTACCTTTTTAGAAGTCTTTTGCTCTCACCCCAGAAGTCCTGACCAACTCCTTGAGTCCCAGGCAGGTAGACCTTTCCTCACTCCAACACAGAAGTATGACAGTGGACACTTGCTTTCTTCAGAACGTAGCCCTTCTCTTGCGAACATTGGCCTCCTCTCAAGGCATGACTCTGATATGTTACTGGGTGAGGACGGGGGTGTATGGGGAACTTTCCAGTTAGGGTTAATCTTGGCTGCTATGGTGAGAGTCCTGTGTGGAGTCCCTTTTCCTTCCATCCATCTGCTCATCATTCCTCATGGTTAGGGAGGGCCCCTCTCCCACCATCCCCCCTCTATCCCCAACCTTATGGCTCTGCCAAAATTTCAAAAGATCATGCTGGTGGTTATGGTTTTTGTGGGGCCCAGGTTGAACTTTCGACTCTATCACCTGTAGCTAAGTGAAAGAGGGCAGGTTAGTAAAATCCTCCATGCCTCAGTTTCGCTATCTGTAGGCTTGTGAGAATAAAGTGAGTTGACACATCAAAGCAGCTTAGAACAGTGCTTGGCAAAGAATCAGCAGTGTATTAAC